TCTTACACACACACACACACACACACACACACACACACACACACACACACACACACCCTGCTCTTTCATAAATCCAAAATTGAGTTCTCCATACTGGTTTCTTTTCTACCCTGTGCATGCTGTTTTCATGATTTTTGCTGCTACATTTTCATTTTGCCAATATTATAATTCTCTTTTTCTTAAATTGACTCATGTTTTATTCCAAAGTATATGACAATAAAATGGAGAAACTTTTCTCCATCTTTGTCATCTGTCAAAATGAATATGAAAATTTGTAATGAAAAGTTTTTGCTGTGTGTGGTCGCACATGTCTTTAATCCCAGCATTTAGGAGGCAGAGGCAGGCGGATCTCTGTGAGTTTGAGGACAGCCTGATCTACATAGTGACTTCCAGGCCAGCTGGGGCTACAGAGAGACCCTGTCTCAAAAGAGAGAAAAAAGGAAAAGTCCTAGCATGTAATGAAAGTCACCATGCGCAGCACAGCTTACCTTGGGGAACACTGTACACTGAAAAATCACATAGGACTTGCAGCTATGTGGAGACAGTTGAACAGACAGGAAGATTTTATTTCAAAAGTGTTTGAGAATGGTGTTTTTCCTGGATGTTTTGAATTATTATTATAAACACTGAAATTTTAGTCTTTATTTTCATTGGATTATTTCTGCTGCTTTTCTCTTCACTCACCTTTCCTGTGTCGGGTTGCCAGTGAGATGTTAGTATTTCCAGTCATCATCACAAGGCTTCAGATGCATTACTCAGAACAGTGGCTTTCTTACAATTTTGACCATGGTACAGTGCAGAGTGTATTTTGAATCATATTTCAGTAAATACAGTACTCATCTTCATTTTATCTCTGACCCTTCTTCCTCTTTTGAGAAAGAGCCCTATTTTGTAGACCAGGCTTGCCTGGAACTTGTGGTCCTTCTGCTCAACCTTCAGAATCCTGATTACAGACATGTGCTGTCATACACAGCTAATTTTATTTGTTTAATGTTTAAACCAATACTAGACATGCCCTTTAAATCTGATATGTATTAAGAAATTATGACAAATATTGTGACAGAGAACCACTAATTAAAGGATGCTTATCAAATGAGATACTATTTTAAATCTGGGGAGATGGCTCAGTAGGTAAAGTGCTTGCTGTACAATCATGTGGACCTGAGTTCAGATTCCCCAGCCCCCATGGAAAAGCTGGTCATGATGGCCTGGGCCTATAACCCCAGTACTTGAGGGGCAGAGACAAGTGGACTCCCAGGAGCTCATTGGTTAGCTGGTCTAGTTTAATGGCTGATCTCCAGGTAGTGTGAGACCCTGTCTCAAAATTAAGACAGAGAATGATAGAGATACCCAAAGTCAACTTCTGGCCTCTATATGTGCACATACTCTCACCCCAGCTGTCACCCATGTGGGTACACACACACACACACACACACACACACACACACACACGTACACCACACAAATTCATTCAAACACACAGACACTATATGAGTCAAAAATTAGATATAAGAATATTGAGACATGAAGCAAGATGTGAGTTTGCCTAATGCAGACTGTACCATCAGTTCTCTTTGTCTGTGGGTTCTGTATCTGTTGATTAACCTACTGTGGATAGAAATAGAAAATTAAGATGTTCCTGTTCTGGATGTATAGACTTTTTCTTGTGCTCATTCCCTAAAAATGCAGTATGAAAAGTATTTACATAGTGTCTACATTATATTAGGTGTTATGAATGATCTAGAGATGATTTGAACTTGCCTGGAAGATGTCAGCTCTATGCAGAGACTATACTGTTTTACGTAAGAGTCCTCAATATCCACTGGTTTTATTGTCTGGTGGTGGAGAACTGATTCTTAGGACCAGTTTTTCCTCTCCCTTTCTCTCCCCCAGAACCAAGGGATAGTTATGTTAGAAATGTGAGATTTAGGTAATATTAAATAATATATCTAAACTAGATTAATGAATTTACATTAAAATTTTTTTCTTACAGTTTTAATGTCAGATTCTGCTTAAAGGCAGATGGCAAAGGAGCACTTCCAAGGAAGCTTAGTGAGTATCTTGTGCAGAATCACAGGATCCAATGATGTTGCATGCACAGCACCTGTAAGATGTTTCTGAGCACTCATATAGTTATTCAGAAGGTTGTTATTTTAATTTGAATGTTTATGCTTGAAGACATCTAAGATGACAATATAATTGCTTTCATTGGCAGGTCCTGTTCAGGTACAGGACATTTGTTACTGGGAACTATGAGAAAAATAGTGAAGAAAGTGGTAAATATGTAATTATGCAGCCCTTAGAAAGTGAAGCGGTTAATAAGAGCTAAATGAAGTCTAGAGATGAGTCTCACTGTTTGTGAGTTTGTAATCTACTGACATGCTTCTGCCCTAGAGATCAGCCTTCCTTAGAGAAGGTGGAAAGGGGAAAAGTTTTGGTTATACATTCATCCATACAGCAAACACTGTTCTTTCTGTCTTCAAATGATGGATGTTGTCCTGAGCACAAGGTGAGAGTATCACATAACTAGAATGGCCAGTTGAGTGGCTAGTGATCTGTGCTGGTGAGGAGTGATAGGCAGACAAGAGGCCTCAGACAGCTGACTGCAGTCCCTGAATGCAGAGAGAGGAGCGAGATGGATCTCGCTGGAAGCCAAGATTTCTGCAGAAACCTCAAGAAAATGAGGAAGCAGTGGGATATCCCTGGTGACTATTTCACACCAGGGAAATGGTGACTTCCAAAAAAACCTGTGGTGGAAGGGGCTCAGTGCTTTTGAGAAGCCATAAGGAGGGCAGCATAACTTTGAAGACCAGAATGGGTTCACCTCCATTTGAAATGAAACATTTAAAGACATTCACAAGGGACTTGTGATTTTAAAACTTTGTACTCTAAACTCCTTTTAAGAAACAACTGAATTGGCTACTTTACAGGGGTGCTTCAGTGCAAACAATGCAATGATATAAGCCATTCCTCATAGTGCTTAGTACAGTGCTATGCTGCATGTTAACAGGAACTTCCTACTCAAAATTAGGAAGACATTTACTACTTAATAGTAGAGGTGTGTGTGTGTGTTTGTGTGTGTGTGTATTCATACATAGTGAGAGGGTGGAACTGAGGACTATGGATCTGTAGTCCCCACCTAGTGGTGAGAATCTTCATTTATTTCTGTTTCCCTCAGCTTAAATTAAAAGAAAATTTCCTCTAATAATTTGTTTTACTACTGTCATTATTTGTAATTATGTATGACAGTTTGGGGAGAGACTGTTAGATTATTTAATCATTGTTTTCAGAATTAATTTGTCGCAATCTCATCACAATGTATGGGCATTCTTAGTGACCTTAGAAGCAAGTTACTTGTCAGAAATAAACATCCCTGTTTACAAGAAAACTTTAGATTTCTAAGGCAGTGAACCCCACACAAGGAATATGTTGGTTATAAATGCTTTGGTTTGTGTAGACTTCCAGGTGGAGCTTCTTTTGGATAAACTCAAGCAAAAGGGAGCAATTCGACGAGCACTATTTCTCCATAACAGGTCCCCGGGTCACTCCAAGAACATGACTATTTTCAGGGGGGGACAGATGCAGTGTGAGGAACTGGTAGCCTATCTGCGGGTAAGAGATACTTTTCTGCAACATTATCTTTTCCTTTTATTTTATTTTTTTATATATGTGATTTTTACTTTCTCTAAATTGGTATTCAGCCAAAATGAACAGCTCAGAGAAATACACTTGAGGAAATTGGCTTTTTGAACATCAAATCTAACAGTAGAGGAAAGTGTTTCTTCCTGGCAGATGAATGTTCGAAGAGGCCTTTCCACAGCAGTATTACTTGAATGAGTCATGAAAAACACATTTTGTAAATATTGCTGGACTCTCAAGACTGTAAAAAAAAACTTCAAGGTCCAAAAAGTAAGGAATAGACTTTAAAAAAAGAGAGAAAGAAAGAAAAAAAAAAGCAGTGGTTGAATTAAAAATGTGGGCTGTAAGCAAATGTGTGAGTCTAGGTTGAGGAAGAGATGGAGCTTATAGTGGGTATGGCCTAGTCACTGGCCAGTGACTCAGAGTTGCCTGAGGCCTTCTACTCTTTGAGACTCATTCTTACCTCTTGTTGAAGTGTTCCTAGCAGAGATGACTGACTCAGTGTGAGTGAGTACAGAGCTCCTTCAGGGGGGCAGTCCAGTGTGGGAACCAGGTAAAGTTCAATCACTGAGAAATTCATTAAAAAAAAAAAAATGCACCAAACACAGGGATACAGATTTTAGATCTGTAAAAACTTAAGATGTACGAATTATCAGTTGAAGAATAGAAATATATAAAATGTTTACAAAAAGAAGAGGAAGGCAACAGTGAAGATCTATGACAGCTTTATTAGCAAGCTTAATTTAATAATCTGTGAACTTAGTGCACAACAATTAGAGAATATAAAAATTGACCATACATCAATCATAAGCATGGTCTAACATATTTCAAAAAATGGTGTCAGGCTGGAGAGATGGTTAAGTGGTTAGGAGCACTGGTTGTTCTTGCAGTGGACTCAGGCTCAAATCCTAGCACCCACATGTAGCTAACAACACTGCACTTCCAGGGGATCTGACTTCCTTTTCTGACCTCCGTGGACATTGTATGATACTCTTGCACTTACATACATGCAGGCAATACACTTATACACATAAAATAAAAATATAAATATTTTTTTAAAAGTGGTGTCATAGAAAACATGCTTTCTGGCATTAGGTGGTGGTACAGGACTAAAATTCTAACATTAAATAGGCCAAAAAGGGGAAAATTAGAGTTTAAGTCCATCCTGCGCTACGCAGCAAGACCTGGTCTCATAAAGAAAAAAAGTAAGAGTGTGAAGGAAAGAGAAAAGCAGGGAGGAAAGGTTGACTTTATCTCAGATGGTTACTTCCTTATGCCAGACTTTCATCCATCAAGAATGAATGAGAGAACTGGAGAGATGGCTCAGTGATTAAGAGCACTGGCTGCTCTTGCAGAAGACCCGGGTTTGAATCCCAGCACCCACATGGCGACAACTAACAACTCTGTAACTCCAGTTCCTGGAGATCCAGTGCTCTCTTCTGGCCCCTGTGGGCACTGCATGACATGGGTGCACTTAACATATATGCAGGCAATACATTCCTACACATAAAATAAAATTAAATAGTGACTCCATAAGT